TACTGCTCTAAAGCTTTAGCGATTTCCACTTCTGGGGATGTTTTCTCTTCACTCTTCATTAAGTTAACTCCAGGAATTGTTACACAAAGCATCTTTAGATTTTTCTTCTTCTCTTCTTTTAAAATTTCTCTGTTTATGGAAAAATATGCCATGATTCTACGATATTGGTCTTTCCCAGGACTCAGTTTCTACTCCTAGTTTTTAAATCAGATAACAAAACAGGTCACAGTGAGGACATAACTCTGACTTAATTCTCAATTCTTTTTGATATATATTTCTGTATCCTTAAGCTAAATTAGGGCAAAATGGATTCACCTGGCATGTTTGATCTGTGGGACCCGTTTTATCACAGGTGATCATGGTGGAATTGTATAAGGCCCAGGAGTGAGAATAAGGGAGGTAGCCTGGCTTGACAAGGGAATGTGTATGTAGTAAGAGAAATATCTGCGGCGCTGGTTGTTAACATGGTGCTGACTACAGAAAATAAGCTTTCTCCTCTTAGATACGTAAATACTCAGATAGTAACATGTATTATACAATAGTTAATTTTTCTCTCTTTAGTTAATTCTCTAGGAAACACAATTTAAATTGGCTCCCTTTATGCATTTGTATATTTTTTAAAATGCATAATCAATGACCTAGGTGTGATCATTGCATTATCTCAGGTAAGCTGCGTATTGGTGGAAAGAATCTATACACTCACTATACATTTAGATTAAGCTGTTATTTACCAAAGGTTATAAAATTCTGCTGAAGAGATCAGGCAACATAAAGCAAATGTAAGAATTATGGGAGAGTTTCTCTTGACCACCAAAGTCCCTGAAAAGAGACTTGTAGCCGCCGCAGACAATTGCCAGTGAGCAAGCTAGGATTTTACTGGATCCAAAATGGAATTTCTTGCTGGACAACAGGCCTTTGTATATGGGGTTTACATTACTATCACAAATAATCTGTTTCCATATTAGGAAATATTTAGACACCAGAGTCTCCCATAGTTAGTCAATTCAGTCCCAACAAGGTTACCAGCTCCACCAAGCAGATGCAGTGCCTGGACGTGACTAAGCAATATATCTACCTTCAGATTCTTGGCATTCCCTAAAGTCCCTTCCACCATGCATGGGTTTATCATAACAGTAATTTTTTTAAAGGGCCACCTTGACTGAGAGCTTACCATTTGCCAGATACTATTTGAGTACTTTATATGTGGTTCTTTTAATTCTGGCACCACCCATGTTCCTTATTATCTCCACTGCATGATAAGAAAACTGAATTTAGGTGGGCTAAGTCACTTTCTCAAGGCCCACAATGACTTTTCAGAAGAGCTATAATTTGAAGCAAGATCTGTCTTGCAAATCTTATTTTCTTAACCTCTATCTATGCTGGCTATGATGCAAAACACAGAAAGTGAACATAGTTTACCCAATATACTCAACATTAGTAAGTTCAGTCCTTTATTAATTTAATTCTGTGTTTAGAGCCCATTCTGCCTCAATGAAAAATAAAGATAAAATGAGCTAAAATACAAAACGAAAAATTTTTAATACATATAAAGACATATTTTTTCTGCTAATCATTGAGACTCTCTCCTCTAAAATTTAAAGCATTATCATGTTTGTGATAAATTATTATTCATCGGAAATTGTCAAGTAGAGATTGTCTTCTATACTGGAGAAAAGATGCACTAGCTGGGTGCTCACACTTATTTCACAACCTTTTTGTTTGTTTCTATTTAGGAATTATTTGGGACTGCTCTACAATGGGGGTTTTCCCCCCTTATATATATTGGTGAGTTCTGAATAGATATTTTACTTATTTCCCAAATCAGGATTTCTAGTAAATTAGGTTAATACAAATCCATTCTCCTCTTTCAACCCTCATTCATAATTTACATTTCATAAAACGAGAACAACTTCCTGCCCTTCTGAAATTTGAGAATGAGCAAGAAAGCCATTAATAGTAAAGTTTTGTATAATGAAACGCAAAACTTGGATTTATCCATGTCCTATTTTATGTTAACTCAGAGTTAACAGAGAATAACTCATGTGATGTTCAAAACGGATTATGAGTGGCATAGTAAAATATATTACTCTCCTGGAGAACAGAAATTAAAATTAGTAGCTGTTGGCAAGATATTACTCCATAAAAAGTGCCTGAAATAACATTTTATAAATATCAAATTGATGTTGGCTACTTTTAATCACTGCATATGAGGTATTTGGGATATATCAGCATTTATTATTTATAGTCACAATTTATTTAAAATATAACATATAACAGAATGCTTTGCTTGCCAATGTTGAAAAAGTGATTACAAAGTACGGTTTTTTACTGGCAGGCCAAGGGAAGCCTAGCTAAGTGTGGTAACTCACCTTACTCTATAAAGTATGCATGTTCCAGCCACCTTGGTGAAACCTTAAACACGAAGTTTTATCCTACCTTGACACTAATCTGAAGAAATATGATCAAAATTATAGTTTTTAATAGCCTGTTGCTGCCAAAGATCTTATCACTGTAATGCAAAGGCCCTTATATATTATTACTAGAACGTTGTTGTACACTTACAATCAAAGATGATTACTAATAACAGTTATTGCTCACTGTATCTGGGGACAGGAACAAAATAGTAGAATATGGTTATCACCAAAAAGAAAGTAGGACTTTCTATTCTAAAAGATGTTGGAAAAACATCAATTGATCTCTAGACTCTGTTTATTGATCTGTGACTTTACTTGTAGTACATGTGATGAGCTTCCATCCTAAAGTCCTCTTTCTGCCCTCACTTAGTCCCCAAGCAAGTTCTTATTCAAAGGCCAGAATGTCTGCTGTAGTTTTCTAGAACTCTAAGCTGTGACATGTTCACATTCAGGTGTTGGGCAATCTATAAAAGAAACTTCTATTCACCATGTTTATACTTTCTACTCATATTTTGTTAGTAAAGGAAATTTGAGTTTCTTCTTGTCAACCTTCTTGGTACTGGTCCAGGCTAGCCGTGTATGGAACACAACTGTCATTCTGA